TATATTTCCCAAACTAGAAATTGTAATGGCAAGTCAACAAAAATCTTAAAAAGTCTCTGTAAGTGGTGGAAAAGAAGGAGGAAAAGTCTAGCCCTCCTGGCAAGAGCAGCAGCACCCCTTTATGCTGAGGGAAAAGGAGTGAGGTAGGGTAGGAAAAGCACCCAAAGCCCTCACGGTTGGCATCTCCTTGCCACTCCCCTGGAGCCATGAAGCCGGCATGCAAAACACTTCCTTCATATCTGGGGGTGGTGGATTATATATATATATATATTTCCGGGCTGGGAAAATAGCTCAACAGCATAAGCACCTGCCTGGCAAGTTCAAGGGTATGAGTTTGATCCCTGGTACCAAAAAAAGTGTGTGTGTGTGTGTGTGTGTGTGTGTGTGTGTGTGTGAAACAGGATGGCATTCTGAACAAAGGAAGCTCTTTTGTCTCCTGCCCTCCTGCCCATCCCAGCACAAGGGCCTAGAGAAGCTGTCGAGCTGTCCCCATTCTCCTGAGCATTCTGGAATCAGAAGAAATAATGAAGTGAAAAGAAAGTCCAGATTTCCCTCTGCTGTGTCACATTAGGAAATGATGAAAGCCTCCAAGCATAGCAGTGAGGAGTGGCATAAGAAGGACAGGAAATAACAACATAGCTCATGAACGTTTTTACTTTAAAAAAAATTTATATGTACTTATTTATATGTATATAATTTCTTATACCTTACAACAACTTGGTTAAAATTTGGATTCTATGAAACAAACTCAAAAATCACAAAATTTAAATGAACTTAGACTGGGACTCTGAAGGAATAAATGGAAGACCATTCAAACAGAAGAAATAAGAGGAAAGAACAGAGAAAATACTGCTGGATGCAAAATATTTGAATAGTACAAAGGCTTGACTTAACTCCAATGAAAGTAGATGAGGGAGACAAAGATTAATTCAGTTGGAAAGAATCTGAGGTAGAAGACAAAACACAAGCATTTAGGTTCGTTGGAATCTGATATAGTGAAACCAACAGAGGTGACAAAAATGCAAATACAAATAGGACAAAAGAAATCATACGGAATTGAAGAAAAATTTCTTTCTGTTAGCCCAAAGAACTTGTGGTGTTCCAGGAAAATTTCACATGGTAACACTCCACATTGTTATATACCTTATTTTGATTAAAAGGAAAAACTACTTAGGAATGCAGGAAGAAAAAATAAAGGAAGGGGAAAGCAAAATCAAGCTGGCCTCAGACTTGCCAGTGTAATGCTGACCACCCGAGTGAATAATTCTAAAGAGAAATCCCCTAGGGAAAGAAATTCCCGAAGACAGTGGTGAAGAACCCATGGCACACAAATTATTGTGTTTTTCTTTTAAGACAATACATGTCAATGTAGAGTTGTTTTTTCTAAACTAAACAATTCAGGTTCAATTGCAGTGCTGATACTTCGTGATAAACAAGTGGGTTTTGGGTTGCAGTTTGACACTGGGTTTGCCATGACTGCCCTAAGAGGTACTTTGTCTGAGGCAACCACAGAATTTCTCACATTTTGGGCTTACGATGTTGCTCAGTGGTAGAGCACATGCCTAGCACGCACAAAGTCTGGGTTCAATGTCCAGCACTGAAAAAACTAAAAGAGAGAGAGACAGAGTGACAGAGAGACACAGAGAGAGAGAGAGAGAGAGAGAGAGAGAGAGAGAGACAGACAGACAGACAGACAGACAGACAGACAGACAGAGACAGAGAGAGAGACTATTTTACAGATGAACAAAATTATTTTTTTAATGTATATAGGACAGAGTCTACAGGTTCTCACTAAGTAGATCGGACTCATAGTGATTCTCCTATCTTCAGCCTCCCAAGCACTGGGATTACAGAGGTACACCACAATGTCCAGTCTCGGCCATCTCAGCACACCCCAAGGGCGGGGCCTGCATGGAGGATCAAAGCCGGCCAAAGTGCTCTGCCTAAGTAGGCGCTTTAGTCTACTGAACTGTATGGCTGGCCCCAAAGAACAGAATTCTGGGAAGCAGTTATTAATTCTTTCGCTACAGAGATTATTTCTGATCTGATTTCCTCTATATGTTTCTGCATTTGATTCTTTACTTTAGACACTATCAATTCACAGATTTCTTTTATTTCAGAGGTTATTTCTGATCTGAGTTCCTCTATACCTTTCTGCAGTTGTTTCTTTACTTCAGACACTATTGATTCAGACATTTCAGCTGTGTGATTCCCAATTTGTTCTATGCTAGTGTCCTCTGCACTTGTTCTGGGTGGACTCAGGGCCTGAGATTGCATTTTGGTCCTTCTCTTTGCCATTTTGTATAGCACTGTCCTCTGACCTTTGGTGTAGAGCTTTGGTGCAGTTATAACCTTAGCATCTACTGAAATTCAGGTGCAGATCTACTAAGTTTGAGTTCATCCAGTTGTGCCTGGCTTGGGTCTGGCTGCTGTGCTCAGCTCCTTCCTGTTGCAGCCCTTGCAAGTGAACCTGTTATGCCCCTCTGGCAAGATGTTCTGCTCCTGGATTAGTTGGGTGGTTCTGGCCCCTACTCTCTCTGCAGGGACTTCAGCTACAGAGTTTCACCCCAGGCCTGTATGCCAGGCCTGAGCTGGGTCTGGAGGGGTCCAGGGGCTTGGGCTTGAGCTGGGTCTGGAGGGGTTCTGAGAGCACGGTGGAAGATCTCACTCACATGGCAGGCCTGTGCTTGGTCGAGAGAGGTCCAGAGGGTGCAGGGGAGCACAGAAGCTCTCCTACACACTCACTGGGCCTGGGCTTGGGCTGGCTCTGGAGGAGTGGAAGGAGGGTCTTGAGAGCCAAGAACAGAATTCTGAAGCCCTGAGCCCTATTGAAAATCCAAGGGCAGACTCAAGTAGCTCAGCAGACTAAAGTGCCT